GGGCACGTGCTGGGTAGCAAGCAAAATCGAACAACGAGATAGGGGAGCGGGACCAGGGGTGCAGAAACGGGAGGGGCAATGGCTCTTGGGCCGCCCGGGAAAATCTACTCTGGCAATGCAAGTCCGCCGTTGCCATTCCTTACTTGCCTCCCCCCCCCCCTCCTCGCTTCCCCCTTTTCCGCCCACACATACATTTTCCAGGGACGCTGCTCTGCCTGCTTCTTGCCCCTCTGCCCCTCGCCTCCTTCCTCATCGTGGGAATTTTTATTTTTACCGTGTTTTTCGCGCTGCATTGTTCCGAGGGCCCGTCCCAGAGGTACATGGTGGCCGGGAAGGGAGGGAGGGGCGAAGGCTTTTTCTCATCCCGGGGCAATTTGGACTCTCGCAACTGTCAAGCCGAGGTAGGGGTAGGGGTGGGGGCGGCGCCGCGGGCTTGCGCCTGAAAGGTAGGCAGCACGCAGGGGTAGTAGTAGTAGAGGAGGTCCCCATCCCCCCCCCCCCCGGCTGCGCGGCGTTGGCGTGCGCTGCCCTCTCTGGATGATGATTGTTATTATCATTAGACCACTACTTTGTCCGGGGGTTCCCAGCAGCACTATATTTTTTCGTGCCTCGGCGCTGCGCGGGGCGGCGCCTTGCTCCGTGCCGCCGGCGCGGGCCCCGTGAGAAGGCGCGGGTCGGGCGCGCCCGCCCGAGTGCTGCCGGTGGCGGTGACCCTCGTTGACAAGGTGGCCCGCGGGGTCCCGCTTTATGAAATCTGCGCGGGAGGCAAACAACACAAGGGCGTTGTTGTTGGGGGTCCTCCGTCTGTGTGAAAGCAGCTGGTGACGAAACGAATCTCTCTCTCTCGGTGTTTTTCTCCCAGTCGTTCTTCTGCCGAGGCGCCCCCTGACCCTCGCGGGTCCCATGCAGATGCATATACATCGGCCCCGCGGCTCGGCGAGGCTCAGTTTGGTCGCTGTGGGTGCATCGCGATGCCACGCCCCTCCGCCCCTCCCCGCGCCGCTCCTCTCATCCTGCACTTCCCTCTTCTCTCGCGGCCGGGGGTCAGGTCAAGTCCGTGTGGTGGTGATGGTGGGACTTTTTGCAAGTCAAATTGGCGCTGCTCCGCGCCCCGCCGCGCCGCGCCGCGCCACGCCCTTCGGGACGCGACGGGCAGCAGCAAGTGCAATGTTATCTGGCCGGGGCAATTACTGGAGAGGAGGCGCAGCGCGGGACGATAAGTCTGTGCTGCGCCGGGCTGCTTGTGGGCGGCCAGCGCTCCATTTGCATAGCCTGGAGGGCCCCGGGCATTGTCTCCGGCCAGCCCTTCAGCCGTGGGACAGCAGCTCCGCGGCCGTGCGGCGCCGTGCGGTGGCGCGGGCCCCATGTCTTCGCACCCGCGGCTCTAAACGCTTAAGCTCTGACGCAAGCGCCGCTGCTGGCTGCTGCTGCTGCTGTTCCCGCTCTGCTTCTGCCCTCAGCTCGCCCTGTTTTTTCGCCTAATAGGCGATTGTGGCGCAACGGCTCCGTGTGCCGCCGCCGTCGTGTTGGTCACTCGTTGCCTCCCGCACGAGCTGCTGCTGTCCACACTTCCTGCTGTCCCGTCCGCAGGGCTGCTTCTCCAGCTGTCAGAGGAGGCCCTTCCAATCAGGAAACGGGCTGGGGGTCCTCTCGCCTCCGCGGCCCGTGTCGCTTCCTACACATCACCCGACCCTCTGTCCCCCGCTCCGCCCTTCTAACACTTCTTCCGTCCGATCATGTGTGGTTGACTTTGACTCTGTTTGACTTGCCGGCCGTGGTCGGTCATCAGCGCTGGTGCTCTGCCCCTCTGTCCCTCTCTCGCTTGGGCCTATCTGCTTTGGTTCAGCAGGCTCGTGGTCCCCTCCCCCCCCCTGCTCGTTCCCCTTCCCTCTCTAATTAAAACAATCCTTTTCCTCATCCATCTTCATTTTCGAATCTCCCGCGAGCATCGTGAGTGTGTGTGCGAGAGAGAGATTCGGGATTCGGGGACCGTGGGAGGAGGAGGAGGAGGGATAGTCGATGAGGTGCGCGCCAGATGGTCTCGCGACACTCGACATGTGACTCTGCCACTTCAACGTCAGCTGCGTCCATTCCCTTGTGGCGCTGCGCGTCCGCAGCCGCAGGGTTGACGCTCCTTTTTGTCACTCTCCTGCTCCAGTATTTTTCTCGGTTCCCTTCGTTCCCATCGCGGTTGTCTAGCTGCGCGATGAGCGGCGCGCCCACGGCTCCGCAGTACACGACCCGCGGTGGTTCGCCGGCCGGCCCCAGGTATTCGGCGGCTCGGCTTGGTCGCCACCGCCGTGGAAGTTTTATCGACTGCCCGGTAAATTTGTGTAGAGTCGAATGAAAAATGGGCGCTAGCTCCGCTGCTGTGCTCGGCCAGCGCGAGTTTTCACAGTATCCCTGCGTGATAAATTACCGCGAGTCCATAATGGCAGCGCACAACAGCACAGCACAGCGCGGCGGCGGTAGCGGCCATGTTGTAGTATAGCGATTTGAAAATGGCGCACCTCATTGGAAATTCATAAAGCTGGTCTATTTTAGGAGCTTTGAAGGACGTCGTATGAAGCTTGGCTCCCGTCGCGGCTGCTCGTCGTGATGGTCAGGATGATGAAGCTGGCGTTGATGAGGCTGGACAGGTGGACCCTTTTCCTCGGTCCGTTTCAATTGCCGCGATGGATGATTTGACATAACGTAAACTCGCGGCGTCTCCTCGCGTGGCGCTCCTAGAGACTAGTGAGCGCTGACGCAGCTCGACCTTGGAGACGGCGGCTAACTGCCAAGCTCGCCATTCTGTTTTGCATAAAAATAAATTTAAAACATAGTCTGATTTCTTTGTTTTGGATCTATTTTTTATTATAGTGCTCAAAACCGTCTGTTTCTCGTCTTGGAGGCGGAAGGTGTGGAGGAGGAAAAGGATGCTGAGGAAGTTTTTCTGTCGGTGTTTCGATCGCGCCGACTGAGGAGGGTAATTTGTATTCCGCTAGATTTATCTATTATTTGCAAAAGCGTCTCGCTCGGCGCTAAGCTGTTCTTTTTGCTATCAGTTTCCTCCGCTCATTCTCTGGATGAGCTATGTTGGCGTGCGTGTGGCTCACGCGCGGCCCGCGTGTGAGAGCGAGAGAGACGGCGCGACGGTTTAGTTATTTAGCACATGAATCTAATGGAGCATATCGCGGGCCGCGGTGTCTTGTCCGTCCAGTCTCCCTCATCGCTCGACCGCCACGCCCCGCCACGCCCCGCCACGCCCCGCCACGCCCCGCCACGCCCCGCCACGCCCCGCCACGCCCCGCCACGCCCCGCCACGCCCCGCCACGCCCCGCCACGCCCCGCCACGCCCCGCCACGCCCCGCCACGCCCCGCGGTGCGGTGGTGTGCTGGTGTAGATTTATGGGTCAGGAGGCGAGAGGAGAGCCGTGCTATGGTGTGATTGGATGATCGGATCTGGTGGATGCGAGGGGGACGGGGCGGGACGGGGCGGGACGGGGCGGGACGCAGAGTGGGATCCTCCTGTGGCAGCGCGCCAGGTTCTGCGCGCCGCGCTCGCCCACCTCTGAACGCACTTGCACTAATGGCCGCGGCCGCTGCGCACGTTGAAAGAGTAATAACATCCTCTTATTGTACGAGTTTGCGAGGAGGCGAAACCTTTAACCGCGCGCTCCGCACCATATCATTGCGCCTCATTCATTAGCGCGCCGGGCGGGGCGGCCGATAAGATATTGGCGCGATATCGACGGCCGCCCCTCGCGCCGCCCCCGCGCACATGTCGTCGCTCCCCTCCGGACCCTCCGGGCGGCGCGAGGGCGGGAGGAGGGATTTGCGGCGCAATCTCGTACGGCGGGCCGGGCCGGGCGGGCCGCTCCACGGGCACCACGTCTCGGAAAGCGATTTATGCCCCGAGGAAGGAGAGGCGGGGCGCGGCGGTGGTGGTGGGGAATCATATTCGATAGTGCGGTGTGCCCCCCACTCCCCCTCCCTTCAACCGCGGGGGATGTTGGCCCGGCCCGGCCACCCCCTGCAGCAGCAGCCTACCTCAAGATTGCATTACCGCCCCTCCCTCCCAGAGCACTCGCGTCCCCCGGGGGCGGCGGCCGTGGCGGCTGCCATTGGTCACGGGGCGGGCGAGGGAGAGTATTCACGCCGAGTGTGCCGCCCGACCCACCGCAAGGAGGGTGGTGGCCGCGGGCGGCACAACTCCACAGCAGCCCTCCTTGCTTGCTCGCCTTTTCCAAATTTCCCAAGTCGGCGGTAAAGCGCCGGGGAAGTTGGTGTGTGGGCGTGTGCATTGCATCTGCTCGCGCGAGAGAGATTCGGCTTCCGCCTGGTGGTGGCGCGGGCTGCTTGTGAGTCTGTCTGTTCCCGCGGGGGCGGCCGGTCGCCCTCGCCACCCTCGCACCCTTGCGGTGGCCCGCGCTCACTTCCGGTTAATTTCCGTCGAGACTTTGTATGCCCGCTGGCCGTGGGGAGGGAGGGAGGGGGAGGGTGGCTGGCAGGTGTGGAGAGCACCCCACCCCCATGGTGCCGTACCAGCCCCTGGCCCGCTGGGGTGGGGTGGGCCTGGTCGTGGGAACGGCGCCCTCTGCGAGCTGCAGGCGGGCTGCACGCGTGGCCGTGGCGTCATCCACGCCTCGACTGGACATGCACCCTATACCCCCGTCGACCACACAACTCTTCAAGATCAGCGGACCTACCCTCACCCCCCTTCAGCAAGTGGATTGCTTTGGTCTGGGTCTCAATCCCCCGGCTTTGCTCGCGGTGGGAGACCTCCTCCCCTCCACTCCTCCCTTCCTGGGTCTGGTCTGGCGGAGTAGCTCCGCTGCTGAGTTGTGTCTTTCTGCCCCTGGTCCTTTCCGGTGCCCTTCCGGTGGAGGGGGTTGGTTGCACTCCAGCCCCACCCAGCCAAGCAGTCCTTGCCCGTAATCATTCTCGTCCCCCTACTCCCCTCGTGACTTTTTGTTGTCGCCTAAAAACTAACTTTGTGTTGTTTTATTTTGTTGCAGGAGCACAGTAACTGGGTGGGCGTGGACGACGCGCTGGGGCCGATGCTGCTGTCGCTCAAGGTGGAGCAGGAGCACGCGCGGCTGCTGCTGCGGCTGCGGACGGGCACCGTGCACGAGCTGCTGCCCTCGTCCTGCATGGCCGCGCACCCCTCGCCCGCCGCTCTCGCCAAGGTGCGTATCGTCGCGGAGGAGCAGGAGGAGCTGGTCGTCGACGTCGTCGTCGCGGTGGTCACGGGTCGGCGGCGGTCGAGTCACGGCCGCGCGCCCAGCGTGACGTGACTGACGGCGCGCCCCCGACGCGGAGGAGGAGGAGGAGGCCGAGGAGGCCCCGCCGCGCGTCTTCTTGGACCGTCCCGTCATCGTCTCGTGGTCCGCCTAACGACGGACGGGGGGTGGGGTGGGAGGGAGGTAGGACGATTCGCGCACAAGCCACCGACCGCGACGGAACGAGTTTTTTATCATTATGTCTGGTTAATTTTCTTATTTTTCCCCCACTATGTTTTCTAGTCGAGGGGGAGTCAGTCGCGTTCTTTGTTGCTGCTCATGGCACTGCGTCCTCTCTTACTATTCCTTTGGGGCTCGCGGCATCGTGAGCCCATCGGTGAATGATGGGGATGACGACAACTATGGAGATTGTGCAGGAGAACAGTTGTAAGAGGGGGGGAGGGTCACGACTCTGGATCGTGCGTGCGCGGGCGCGCGGCCGACGGCCCGAGGGTTGTGCAACAGCAGTCGCGGCTTGTCTACTCCCGTTCGTTTCCCAGCGGTTTGACGGGCGGGTGTCGTGCCCCGGAGGCGACGCTCTTCGACGCTGCTCTGGTCGTCTCCCGGATGCGATGCGGAAGGCACGGCCGCGCGGCGCGGGGCGTGCACTCGCATCGTGTCCGAGTTGTTCAAACAAAGCAGCGAGTAGTCTGCTTGCGGCGGAGGGCTGCTGGTGCTGGGAACGCGTTTAAAAGGCACTTTAGCTCGCTGCCGGAGCTGGACAGTGCGTAGGGGTCTTCCGTGTGAGCGGGGCGGGGCGGGGCCGCGACACCCCGAGCCTGAAGAGGTACAAAGCGCCTTCTCGCCTGTTCTCTGTCCCACGGCCCGGAGGAGGCCCGGGTCCACGTGAGACCCGGCAGGCGGTGAGAGGAGAGGAGACACTCTGCATAGCGGCGACAAGAAACCCGAACCTCCTGCCGTCTCGTCCTGCAAGCCTGGCGGCGGCGGCGGCGGTGCTCCTCGCCTACGCCTTCCTCGCTCCACGGCGTCCTGGGCGGCGGGTGGGGCTTCCCTCCCTCCCGTTGGACCGATTGGCTTGTTTCCCGCGCGCCCCTTCAGGGTTGTGGTTGATGCGTCTGCTCTCTTTCGCTCGCGTCGCGTCTCTGGGCCGCGGTGCGATGGGACGGGGGAGTCGCGCTCGCTGCGAGCAGAGCTGCCGTCGATGCCGCCGCGCCGCCTCGCAGGAGGGAGGTAGCCAAGCGTGCTTCCGTGCGTAGCCCGGGCCCTGCTCGGCCTGCTGCAGCACGCTGCCGGCCCGGCCGGCGTCTCCGTCACGGCAGGTGACGGGGCATTCTTGTGGAACCGTGAACCGCGATGGCGGAACCAGTGGGGAGCGGAATAGCTGCCGATTTTTAGCTTTTGTTTTTGGGGGGCCTTTATGATAACATTTTGTCTTCTTCTGCCCACAGCTGCTGAATAATGACGGCTTGACAGTGGAGCGGCTGTCCCCCGTACTGTGCCCGCGAGCCTCGCAGCTGATCGCTGCGTACGACGAGCACGTCCTGGTTTCCAACTTCAAGTTCGGCGTGCTCTACCAGCGCTTCGGCCAGACATCGGAGGAGCAGCTCTTCTCCAACCGGCACTCGTCGCCCGCGCTGGACGAGTTCCTCCAGGTGCTGGGCCGCCGCATTCAGCTCAAGGACCACAAGGGGTATGTGGACTTTATTCTCGAATACGATATTGGTTAGTTTCTGTCTTATACATTTGTTCTAAACGGTCGTTTCTTATTGTTTTTAGGTATCGAGGTGGCTTAGACACACAATTTGGTCAAACTGGGGATGAGGCCATTTATGATGTTTTTAAGGACAGAGAAATCATGTTCCATGTGTCCACAATGTTGCCTTACACAGAAAATGATCCTCAGCAATTACAGCGTAAGAGGCATATTGGTATGTACAGACTGTCAATTGTGCTTTTCATTGAAATTACTGTGAAATATACTGTGCCCAAGAATGACACTGACTTGAGCTTCTTGTTTTCCAGGTAATGATATTGTTGCTGTTGTTTTCCAAGAGTCAAATACACCATTTTCCCCGGATATGATTGCTTCACATTTCTTACATGCCTATATTGTGGTCCAAGTTTTGGAACCAAACACTCCTAACACTAGGTATGTCAGTCGTATTATGAAGATAAAAATGTGGTTCTTAGCATATTTTTATAAACTTGACAAGTATTTAATTGTGATGTTTTGCTTTTCTTGCAGGTACAAAGTTAGTGTAACAGCAAGGGATGATGTTCCTTTCTTTGGACCACCTCTTCCAAATCCAGCAGTATTCAGGAAAGGACCAGAATTTAGAGAGTTCCTTCTTACAAAACTAATTAATGCAGAAAATGCCTGTTATAAAGCTGAGAAATTTGCAAAGCTCGAGGTAAGACAATAAATCATGTTTCTCATTTTTAATACTGTTGTTGCAAAGTGATTACATTGATAACTTGAACCATTTTCAATTTTAGCTACGGACAAGATCCTCACTCCTCCAGTCTTTGGTTGATGAGCTCCAAGATAAGTCACAAAGCTTTGTTGGAGGAACAACACCAAGTACCAGTACTGCACCAGATACTCCCAAATCAGAAGGCAGTGGTGGAGCTGGTAGCAGATTTATCGATACTGTGAGAAAAGCACTCTCTACCAAGGGGAGGTCTCAAAGTATGGAGCAAAATTTGAACAATAACAACAATAACAATCCTGCGCACCAAAATGGCATGAGGAAATCATCAGCTGCTCAAATTTCTCAGGGGAACTATTCTGAAGGAATTACACCTTCTGTAAGTATTTCTGTAGACAATGATTGATGACCTTGCATTTATTTATTTTAATTCTTATGCTAAATCATTCCTATTTTTCTGCAGTGTGGAAGATCACAACCAAAATCTGTTATATCTAACAAGAAAAGCTCCCCCTCATCACCTGTATCAAGTCCGGACATGTATGCACACCGTTCTCAGAGGTAAGATAGCATTTTTTTCTCTTGTCTGTGTATTGATATTCTTTAACTAGTTAAAGCTTACAGCGTGTTTTGTATTTTTGTTTTTCAGAGTAACCTTGTCTGAAAGTGACTCATCATCCTTGAACAGCATGGATCTAGATGTTGCTGTGTATGTGGATAGTGACACAGGGCTTGAGAGTATGTCATCAGCTGAGACTCCACACAAGAGTGGTCCTAATGGCAACCCACACTGTCATGTGTGCAGCTGCAATACTACCAATGGATCTACCAACAGTAGTGGAACAGGAAGCACTGATGGTTCCTCAACCACAAATGGTGTCAGTATTCAAACAGGCTCAGGCTGTTGTGGGGATAAACCAAATACAGACACACTCAGGCAAGAAGTTACCAGATTAAAGTGTGATAAGCTAGATCTCTTAAGACAGAATGTGGTAAGTAATATAAATTTGATTAATTAAATATATTTAAAGGTTTTACCTTTGAATGTAGTTTTAATTTTTTTTTCTTTGCTTTTTAGACGTGTCAAAGAGATATAAAGAGGTTACGAGAGAAGGAGTTACAACTCCAATCGGATCTTGCTGCTGCGTCAAAAGAAATTCTTCGGTTGAGAGAGATGCTGAAGGATTTCGGCAGCAGTGGAGAGGGGTCGCCAGTTTAGCCTGTTACGCAAGCTCTGACTGACAAAACTTGAATGTGATCTAGCCAAAGTTAATATTTACCAGTTTAAGAAACCAACATTATGATAAAACAACATATAGTTTGTATCATGTAATGACTGCTAAAGAGATGCAAAGTAATTTTTTTTAGTGACAGAAACTTTCACTAACAGTTGTGTTGTGGAGCACTTGCAAAGCACAAGTAGGTTGTGGTTGATGTAGATGCAACCACCTACCTGGCTTGTTTTACGGTGCTTAAGTATTTATGTGTGAAGTTTGCATCTTATTATTTCAAATTTATTTTCAAAGTTGCAACTTTTATGTAGGGTGCATTTAAATACAAACATTGGGCTCTCACATTAGATTCTCCTTATGAGGCACTTTGATTGATGTGATCCAATAATTTATTGTTGTTTGTGTATGTTATGTTTCTAATTGTTACAAGTTTCTGTACTGTTGATCTGATATGTTTAAAATATGTTTTAAATTAAAATGTAAAAGAACCAGCCTAGTATTGAACACCAAATCTCATTTTATCCCTATATCTGTTGCAATAGTTAAAACCATTAATTTTAAACTGTAAGATAAAAAGAACC